TATTTTTATAAATCTTTGGCTTTTCTTTGTTTGGATGTATCGCCCTCAAGAACTCACTCATATATTTCAACATCAAAATTAACTACTAAATCATATATTATATATATATATATATATATATTTATATATATATATATACCTTGTCATAGACAAAAAATGCAATGAGTCGCAAAGTCCACTCATTTAAGAATAGTCCCGGGTGTTTTCTTATCAAGCGGCCCAATTCACGTATGCTCACCCTTCTGGTGACAGGTGCGATATCTCTGTAAATAAACTGATGTTTAAAAAATATTTTTTAACTTATGCGGTTCAAGGAATTATGGTAGGTGTAACAGCTATTCCTGGTTACATATTTTATTTTATATGGCAAAATGATTGATCTAGTGGTAATATCAAAAAACCAAACCGAGCTGCAAAACATGATGGACAGAATCGTCGAAATGGGTAGAAGATATGGGACGGAAATCAGCATCAACAAATTGGAAGTGATGAGAGTATCAAAACGAGATGATACTCTGAAGATAACAGTAGAAAATCAAAAATTGGAAGACGTTGATCATTTCAAATATTTAGGAAGCATTCTGACCAGAAACGAATACAGCACGAGAAACATCAGGACAAAGATCGCAAGCGCCAAGGTGGAGTTTGCGAAGTTGAGAACACTACTGAGAACCAACCAAGTCTCGACTTGTGGATGATATTGATAAAAAAAAATGTTATGTCTAGAGCATAGCTCTTTACGGATCAGGGACATGGACTCTAAGAAAAAGAACTATTTGGAGAGTTTTAAAATGTGGTGCGCAGGAGACAGGTGAATGGAGAAAATAAAGTGGACTGACAAGATAACAAAAGAATAAGTCCATAAAAGACTTCACTGAGAACGATCATGAAAAGAAAAGGAAACTGAATAGGACCCATTCAATTCAATCGAAAAGAGTGCCTCCTACACGACGTGGTCCAAGAATACATAATCCTGAACATATGCTTATTTAAGACATGATATGTTAAAGCAGGAGTCTACAAACAAAACTTAGCTGTGTTATCCGAGAATTGGCTCATAAATGTCAAAATATCTTACTTTCTGCGTTTATAAATTATATTCCTGAATAGGGACTTGATACATAATTCCAGTTCCCTATACATTTCATTTAATTTATTCCTTTCAGAGTGAAGGAATGCCAAGCGACTCAGATCACGCCTCGTCTCCTTCGCTTCTTCGGCCTGAATTAGCTTCGAGCACCGATTCATTTCTGAAGCCGCTTGTTGAAGTAACCCTGCCAACTCTGTAGTTATGGACAAGCCTGAATAGATATATAAAAAATCAGTAAATAAAATGGTAATTATAAAATATTTTTTCAACTCTTTTGCCAATGTATTAATTTTTAATGTCTAGTGATGTTTAAATGTAACTTAAAAAATGCTGAATGAAGGCGCACTTCCTCAATTTCAAATTCATCAAAACCTTCAAACATGTCCATTGATAATTATTTCTTGAATACAAGAACACCTGAACTCTGGGACAAGTTATTTCCAATCTTCCACAAATTATTTATTGGTTTAACATATATTGCTAAATTTGTGAAGTCGATATGATGGAAATGGAGACATGAGATGCAGCATGAATATTATAAAAATAAAAAGTGAATCTGAATAAAATCGATCTCGTAGTCACTCCGCGATATTTAAAACCGATATTAACAATTTGTATTTACAATTGCAAATATTAAGAAAAATTTGGAGGGTAATTAATTACTATTTACTCATGCAATAAAATACATTTAACTACTTTTTATTATTCAACAGGCAACACATCATGTAATGCGTAAAAATGTAATAGTATTGTCTTTGTTGTTGACAAATATTTCTAATTGGAAAACAACAGGCACTCAAATACATATCAACAATACATACAAATTAATATATCAATGTGGTAATTTGAATGTAAAATTATATAGTATGTATATCAGTATGAATTAAACATTTTGGACATCTTGTAAATATTTATATCTTCCAGTCAATATTTTTCATGCTAGAAATTTCAATAATTTAAATAAATAATTAAACTTTTGGTTCATGAACTGTCAACAGATTTTCTGAAAAGAAAAAAAAATTAATATTTACATAATTATTAAAGAATGAATGTAATTCATAATTATTAAATCATCATATTATTATATTGAAATATTAAATACTAAAGTATTATGACTTGCGTTTGATTTGTCATAAACTATTATGTGGGTAATTTGAGTTTTTAAACAGCTCAAGAACTGACTGAAGTCGCGATAAAGTGTCAACACGTTTTATTAAAAAAATTAATAGGTATATTATATTTTCATAATATTTATTTAAAATGTTTTAAAACACCATTTTAATTGTTCTTTTGATAATTAAGTACTTTAACTAGTGGTGTATGGCATCGTGCCTCAAGGAAAATTGCCGGAACTTCTCGTACCGTAACGAAATAATAAATGTTTTCAAATTGATTTTAATAAATACTGTAACATTGTCAAATATTTATAAGTCACCGTCGCAGTACTGTACGCCAAACACAGGAGTTTTCTTATTAAAATCGATAATTATGGAAACATCGCAGAAACCATCGCCTTTTCTAATTTTGATACGTGCCTTTAAAATTCTTCTGTACTTGGCGTCGTCTCAGTCTCTTCGAAACCGACATTGGTATTTCTAAGAGTTCTCCGTTTTCTATCTAGTTCTGTTATATTATCTGGGCAAATGTTTGGAAAATAATGTAACAGTTCAGAAATTGATGTGATTTTTTTTCTCAAATCAGTACTCAAAATTGCTGCAAATATTATAGTTCTTGTCGTTTTTTATAATGAAATGGAAACCTCTGCTTTATTTGGCTTACTATTAAACTCATCATCTCAATACCCACCTCAATATTAAACTCATCCTCATCTAATTTTTCAGTTTCTCTTTTCAACCGAATTATATTTGGAATCATTCCTCTAGCATATATTTCTAATGAAGGTAAATGCATTTGCAAATCGTTTACATCTACGCTTAATACCTTTTGCTGTTTGGCATTCGAAATATTTTCTATCGTATTCAACTCTTCGTTTGAAAGTTCCAAATATATCGGTTGAATGAAACATTCCAAAATTGTCCCATATTTGCTGTGAATATCATCTGATCATATAAAACGTAACTTTCTTAATTGATTCAACACACGAACTAACGTTCCAAGAAACTTTTTACATCATTTTTCCAATGAAATCTACCTTTTCCAAAATTTCATGTTATATTATTATTAAATAACTAAATTAATATGATTTAATTTAATTCTCATTCACGCCGAACTGTTCGAGTAGAAGATTACTCGGATAATTTCTATAATCTATTATTTATGCTCAAATGGTCTAATCGCCTTTATTTTTGCTTCCCATCGAGTATCGCAAACTTGTTTCAATGTTAATGATTTTATATTGCTTTTTAATATTTGCTACCAAAATGGTGAACCACTGAAAGATTGTAAATATCAATATTACTAAAAAAAATCAACCGTTGAAAATTAACCTTTAGCATCATTAATAGCCACGTTTAACGTATGCGCGTTGCATGGCATAAATAAAGCTCGTTGATAATTGTGGAAATTTATTTTTACAGTCCATTGTGTTTTCTGGACGCATTGGACGAAGTTCATACCAAATTGAACACTCACTTTGCTGTCTATTTAATCGTTCACCTTCTTCCACATACAGCTTCTTTCATTTCAGACTATTCTAAAAAAAAAAATAGTAAAAAAAATGACCTTGCGATTTAGCACTTTTACTAAACTCAAAAATAATTCGATGTAATGATAAACTATAAGCTTTTTTGTAATATTATATCGAAATTTGACAGTATATTTGTTGATTTTCTATTTATTGTTGTAAAACAGTTGGTGATCGGGTTACATTACCTGGCCGATTCGATTAAAAAAATTTCATATCGAAGTAATTTGAAAAAAAAAATGTAATCAAGATATTTCATTTTGTACGGCTTTTTTACTTCAAATTCTTGAATAATTTGTATAAAATTACAAGGTGCATACAACTCGTAATCTTTTTTACGTCTTTCTTACAACCTACCTCAAGTTTATATAAAATAGAAATGTTGTCAGAATATAATACGTTACTTTAACCTTAAGTAATAGACCCTTGTTTCTTTCTATATTTGCTTATGTGGATTCTAAATAAAAAAATTTTACTGAAGTGCGCCAATAAATTTTACTTGGCAATGCTTTAATTGCATTCGTGCACGTATTTTCATTTCTCGTATGAAAGTTTTCACACCTAGGATCGAGCAATGTTGCTATAGCTATCTCGAAATTATTTGATAGCTGATAGCTATTTCCGAGTAATGTACTTTAACGGCTGCAGTATATTTGATAGCTTTGGTAATATATTTGTGTATAATATACTTAAATGAAAACGACGATGTTGTCTTAGCCATGTATTTTAAACAACTATATTTTACAGAATAAAAATGAATAAAATTAAAAGCTCAAAATGGCGGGTCAAAAGCCCCCCTACCAGATTTTGGTTATTTCTAAAGCACACCGTTAGATGGCGACATAATTAATTATATTTTATCCATATTCCCGCCCGATGCGTATGCATCCATCATTACAACAATTTGTAAAGTTTATTAAAGAATACAACCCGAAGATATATTAAGATATAACCTATGAATTGCGAAAAGAAATGACATGACATATAACCTAGACAATATAATAATATGTGACATGAGTTCTTGAACCTAGTATGCATGAATAATAAAGATAATAATATAATATAACATGATAACAGTATAAGGTTCAAAATTGTAAATGAATATGGACTTATGGATAACTAAATCTAACGTGATATACTAAAAGATTTCTAAATGGAAATTTTAATCCTAAGGTTAAGTATCATAAATTTTTTAATCCCTATTACTAAATATTTATATGAACATTATATAACAAAACTTAAGATATTTCATACACAAATATATTTTCAAGCTTCCTTCATAACCAATGGCGTTAGTTTAACAATTGGTCGCATATAAGAGCCCTTCATAGTCCTCACAGTTGCAACTCGAACTTTACCATCTTTGCCTGGATGTACATGGGTTACTCGTCCTAATGGCCAGTTCATTGGTGGTACATGGTTTTCCTGAATTAGTACTACTGTGTCCACTTCTAGATTGCTGGTGCCTGAACTCCATTTTGTACGCTTTTGTAGTTCTGAGAGATAGGCCTTTGGCCACAAAAGCCAAAACCGATCTCGCATTGCTGTAATTTGCTTGTGTATGCTTAATCTATTGGTAATAACTTTGTCATTTATTGGTTCAGGGATGGCAGTCATAAGGTCTCCAATTAAAAAATGACTGGGACTTAAATATATAGTATCGGTACTGTCATCGCTTAAAGAGATTAATGGTCTGGAATTTAATATGGCTTCCACCTGTATTAATAAAGTCAAATATTCTTCATAAGTCAAACATGTGGATCCTATAACTCTATGTAAGTAATGTTTCATAGATTTGATATTACTTTCCCAGAGGCCTCCAAAGTGTGGAGCATGGGAAGGTATAAATTTCCATGTGATACCCCTATTTGCTAATTCATGAATAATTTTATTAAACTCTTCTCTTTGTGCTAATTTGATTATTGCATTGCGAGCATATTCTAATTCTCTGGTGCTCAAAGTTAATGTATCATTATTATGAAGATATTTTAATTTTAACTTAAATCTCAAATAATATGACATAACTCTAATTAATTTATTAAAACTCGAACATTTTAAGTATAGATTTTCCGAAGTTATATATGACTGGTTATTTTCAGCACTTTTAGTTCTGGCATAGTTTCTACTGGCAATTCTTCATACTTATTGGTGGCCCATTCTAAATTTGATAACAACCATGTTGGACCAAACCACCATATTCTGTTATTAATTATTTCCTGAGGAGTGGCTTCTCTCGATACTATGTCTGCTGCGTTGATATCTTCATAAGAGTCTTGTCTGATTCTTTCATCTTTTGGGAATTTATTTAAACATTGTATTGCTTGATTTGATTTAACACTAACTGTGGTTTGATCTTGTAAATATTCCTTTTCAACGAATGTTTGTTGTTCGCACAATTTGTTTACTCGACTTCCAACAAGTTTATCATGTTTCTCATTTCTATTCTGTACATCCAATGTTAATTTTTGAAATAAATTATTGGTGTGCGATGGAGATAAAGTACTTTTAAAATTTTGACCAATTGGATGTATTTTTAATATACATTCATTTGAATTACTTGTATTATTATTATTTGATGTCTTGTTATATTGTTTATTGCAACTTATCGTTTTTTCATCATTGTTCAAATAATCACTTTTTCTATCTCTTGTAGACCTAATATTATTAATTATTTCATTACTTTCTAATAAATCTTCTGTAGATTTTGAATTAAATTTAAATGGATTATGAGTTATTTTAAATTTCTTCTCTAGGTTTATCAAACCTGTTTTAACTAAGTTATGTGAATCTCCAATATCTCTGTTCTTGTTTTGAGTGAATGGCAAACTGACTTCATATTTTTCATTATTATGTCGATGAACAGTTCTCATGACGTGGTCTTCACAAATTCTGTCTGAGCCCTGCAGCGGGGATATATTCTTGATTCCTTCAAGCTGCCAAAACTTGTTAGTTTCTTCGTATAATTGTTCCTTCATAATGAATCCTACATACTTTTGTTGTGCTGGTTCCTTATATTTTCCCGATAGCATCCACCCAAGGTTACTATTTTTCAATATAGGAAGATTATAACCTAGTTTGATACTACTTTGCTGCATAATTTCGAAGAACAATTCTGCCCCGATTAGTAAGTCTACTGGCCTAGGATTTGCAAACGAGGGATCTGCTAATTTTATGTTATTTGGAATCTTCCAGTCACTTGCATCAATTTTTTGTGCAGGTAAATTTGTTGTAATTTTATCTATTACAATACAGTTTATTGATCTGCTATACGAACTATTAATTGAATTTATCTTGATTTTAGTTGATTTAGATACTCCTAATGACTTGCCCTGTAGTACACTCAGAGTGTTTTGGGAATTAAATTGTGGGAGCTGCTAAATCTTTTGTGACCAGGTTGGTCTGTGAGCCACTATCCAATAGTGCTCTTGCTTCACAAAGCTCCCCTCGAGTGTTTTCAATGTTGATGATTGCAGTTGCTAACAAAACACTTATGGAATTGGACTCTTGTGAAAATAGTACCTTTTGTGTAGCTTCACTGCCTCTCGCTGTTTCCTCTGAGGTGGAATCTTCATTATCATTATATACATGCATCGTTGTGTGGTGTTTCTTCTGGCATATTCTGCAGTTCGGACTGAATTTACATACATCTGGTGAATGAGCAGGTTCTAAACATTTCTCACAATGGAGATTAAGTCTTAAAATTTCCTGTCTTTGTGTTATTGGTAGTTTCTTAAATTTGAAGCAATTATATACACGATGTCCTTTCAATTTACAATATATACATGGTTTGTGCTGATTATCTTGAGACACTATATTTACAGATTTGATTTTAACCCCGGAATGTTCTATCTTTCCAGTCTTGGTTGCTGTTTCCAACGCACACGACCTGGTTTCAAGAAATTTATAAAATTTGTTTAACGTTGGCAGCTCTCCTTCTTGTTGTGATAGACTCCAAGCTAAACGAGTATGGTGATCTAATTTATTTGTGAGCTGAAAAACTAAAATTATGTCCCAATAAACTGCATCTTGGTGAATTGTTACTAGTGACTGCGTCTGTTGCCTCGCTTGGTTTAAAAATGATTGTAGATTTTCATGTGAACCTCTTAGTATAGGTTTTATATCATTTAGAGATTGTAGATGTGATGTAATTATCAAGTATTTATTGTTATATCTATCTTGCAGTAAATTATATGCCGTGTTGTAATTTTCATTGGTCATAGAAAGATTTGATATTAAGTCAGATGCTAGTGATTGTAATGTCCCTTTTAAATAATGAAGTTTTTGAACGTCTGACAATTGCTCGTTGTTGTGTATAAGTGAATTGTAAATATCTATAAATGACTTCCATTCCGAATAATTTCCACTGAACTTTGGTAAATTTATGTCTGGAAGTTTGATGTTAACTTGCCTATGTTTTAAATCTATATTTGGTTTGTTTTCGTTAATGCTACTTTCTAAGATATCTTCAATTCGAGCTGACAATTCAAAATGTAAATCAAATAACTCCTCATACTCTTTTGAGTAAGTTCCTGGACATCTAACATCTAATTCAGTTTGATTTTCTTCTAAACTTTGGAGAATCTCAACTAGTTTCTTTTTTCTGAGGATTAAGCCATGTTTGCTATCTCCTTCTTGAAAGTTATTAATAAAATTCTGAATAAGCGCGATAGATTTTATTAATCGAGCCCTTTGTTGTTTGAGCGTCTCAATGTCCGCCATTTTAAATTTTACAAACTCACGTGTAGAATTTACGATAGTTTATATATAAATTTGCTACCGCAATTTGTTTGAATCCGTAGTTTTGTATGTAATGGGAAAATTGTATTGATATATAATAGGAATATGTTCCTAATTCCTATCCCGATTTATTAAATAACCACAATGACAAAGTATACCGTACATAGACTAAACCTTACAAACAATTATACTAAGCAATTTTGAAATGGTTTTAACTAATTGTGGACTTACTTGTATTTCCAATTGTGATCTTTAGTTGTAGTTGTTCCAATTCCAGTGAACTCCAGGCGACGCTTCCAAGCTTCAATGGCGGCTTCTCAGGTTCCCGGCTTTTCATTCACGTAGAGCTTTGTTTGGCTTTATTTTTAGACGAACTCGCGTATATTAAATTGTAAAGTGTGGACTGTAATTTTTAATCACTGGATCCGTGTCGATGGACCAAAATGTATAATATACTTAAATGAAACGACGATGTTGTCTTAGCCATGTATTTTAAACAACTACATTTTACAGAATAATAAAGAATAAAATTAAAAGCTCAAAATGGCGGGTCAAAAGCCCCCCTACCAGATTTTGGTTATTTCTAAAGCACACCGTTAGATGGCGACATAATTAATTATATTTTATCCAATTTGATAGCACCTATTATTTTTACTTCAGCCGCTGATAGTTTAGTTACTTGTGCCACGTATAGTGTCAACTTCACAAATTTCTCTAACTAACATGACAAGCGACTATGGTTATCACTGACACACCATGGTAGTGTAATTTGAAAACGGTATCTGTTGTGTTTAGTTTTGTAACAGGAGTTTCACCTCGTTTTAACGTCTAATATTAATTTTGATTGGTTACCCTATGCTTTCGATTTGTGCTTTTCTCAGCTTGTCGGTAGTCATATTATTCTTTTAATAATAAATTACGATACTTCTGTTTTTTTTGATAACATTTGTTACTTCCAAACCCGAAATGTTTTTTTATCACTTTCATTATGTGCCATATTACTAATGTTATCTGTGACAATTGCGGTTAACTTACTAACATCTGGCTGCCAATCCACCATTTCTGATGTTATTTTTTCCTGTATGCATTTCCTTGTTTATGTTTATGTTGTTAGTTCCTAAATCAGCCAATTTTAAAATTTTAACGCTCAAATAATGGATAGTTATACCCAAAAATAGCTGACCATATTTAATGTGTCGGTGCATATATTGCACCTATCAAAAATCTTTTATGGACCGATTCTGCCGCATAACAGAGAAATGTTACGGCATAGCTATGTTACGCTTCGACTTCCATACATTATGCGAATGAATCATACTGAATGCTGTCAAAATATCATGTATTTGCTGTTCATTCCGGCATTTTATACATAAACTGCAACGTCACTCGTATGTTAATCTAGAGGTATCAGAAACACACACTTATCTAACATCGTTTTTTGACATTTGTGCGGCTTTTAGGTTATGTTTTGTATCAGAAAACCGGAGAAATTCGCCTGACTGAACACCAACCGCATAACTTTTGTCTATATTACTATGGAAAATTCTTCATAACATGACCTTATCATAAAATTGCGGCAGAATCGGTCCCTTAATTGAAGTTCGGACTTCAATGAAAATTTCATTAAATTGAACTTCGTAGTCGTAAGATTTTTATAATCGGTATTCGATGGTACTTTGTAGCTACTATCAATCGTTTTGAGAAGTTTAATAAAACCTTTACCATTTACATTATTAAACGGTTTGTGGTCCGCACAAATGTAATATAACACCGCATTTGTTATTACAATATGTCGCCATCGAGTTTAAAGTTTTCTCCATCAGAACACTTTTGTCTTTTCGCTGATATTTTATTACAAAAATAATAATTTTGAATTAGCACTAAAAAAAATACTTTGAGAAATGCAGTTTGAAGCAGATAGAACTAGTTTGTATACTTTCAGATGTTTTCCTTCTGCCTCTAATGTACTAAACTTTCATTTTCTAATAATGTGTTTAAATGAGCAATTATTGCTTCTTTCTGGCTGAGCCACTTTAATGTCTGAATGCTCCAATAAAATATCAATTTATTAAAATGAGTCAATCAATAAAATATTAAAATAAGGCTAAGAACACTATATAATAACGACAAACACGTTCGCCGTTAAATATGTGAATATGTGTAATCATTCAGAAGCAGTAATCTTTCTCGATTTTTAGATATTCTGGTTACATATTGCGCTAATGGAAAATCGAAAATGGAATGACTTGGACTAGATTCAATTCATCCTCTTCATCACTGGAGAG